TAGCTGAGTTTAACAAATCTATTTCAATTCTTTAATTAAAAAATAAAAAGTTTAATATATTTCTTTTGTACCAACCATTATGTTTTTGAAGTAGGTGAAATATTGTCTATGCCAATAAGCAATAACCAACCAACCTCCTTCCTCAATCGATAGTGGTGCTGGTCTCCTTTCTGTGGTATCACCAATAGGTCACAAGAGGGTGGGCGGTGACTGGAACGGGCTCCCCAGGGAAGTGGTCATGGCACGAAATTGCTCGTGCCGTTTTTGAAAGGGGAGAGATTCTTTCCAGCAAGGAAGAGGTTGGCTCAGATGACTTCCCCAAGGTCTCCAATCTGGATTTTCTCCGTGGTCCCTTGGCCATGAGCAGTGGTTTGGGCTTGATTTTCTTCCTCTAGACAAGTACAGGTAGATCCTCTCGTCACTTGTGGAAATCTTTTCAGAAACCGTACTTGTTATTTTAGAGACTTTGATGCCGAAGAGGGATAGATGGGCAGCTGGCAGAAGTTTTGTTTTTGACTTCAGTGGTGTCTGGACTTGCCGTGGTGTTTGTGTCTCCAAAGTCTGACTCAAACCCAGTTCAAGCCAATGGAAAGAATCTCAGCAGCTTAACAGATATAAAGTTGCCGCTCTTGAAAGGATAAACTTCTGGTAACACATCGTTTCATAAATATCTCTTCTTTCTGATCTACTGGTGAGCTATCATCAAACTGGGGTTTTTAACGATGGTTATTCTGGCCTTCACAAACACATTTCATCCTGCTGGTGCTACCCAGATGACGCACTCTGCTGCACCATCACAACACATTTTGGCACCGACGCCGTCCCCGTTGCACACAACCTTCTCCACCTGCCAAATACTCTCTTCTTTTCTTGGGCAGTGTGCCTTTTTGCCTCCGTTTGCTGCCCCCTTGTCTTTGCTTTGGTGTGGCTCTAGCTCTTTGGCTCTTTGCTAGTTTGGCTGCCTAAATCTGTTTATTTTAGTGCTGCTGGGATCCTCTCATGTGGAGGGTGCCCAGAGCCTCCATGGCGCGTCTTCCTTTCTTCATCCAAGGAAGACATAAAATTCACCTGAATTTATTACCATTTTGAAAAATGACTCTTCTCCTTAAAGTGTAAGGGCAAGGCTTATGGGGAGAGGTGTTAGGTTTCGTTAGACCAACTGATAGGAAAAACAGATAAGCTTTTGGCCATGCAAGTCTGTGCTTGGGGCATTTAGGAATGGCCCAAGCATTTTTTGGAGCACATTTCTCCACGGCCTCCCTTGCCCAGGTGCAGCTCCCCTATGAAAGTGTCCGCAAGGTCTGCAGTTTGTAAGGCAAAGAAACATTTCTGATAATCTGTAACTCGCCTAATGAGGACTCCCCATGCAGAAAGGGTTGTTTGCCTTCAAAGAAATGCTTTTGGAGAGCTATTTTGTGGTAAGTCACTCAACATTACTGATCCTCATTAGATTAGAAAAGTACATGCTTTCCCTCCAGGAAGAGTATGTAAGTGTTGGGATTTCTAACGTTAGAAATGATTGAAACGGAATGGTTTGAAATGGTAATTTTTCCTATAGCTGACATTTAAAAGATGACAGTTTTCTTTCCCGTGTCCGTTCTCATTATTTATCAGAACTTACAGTGTGATTTACATCCATAGCAAGTAAAATGGAAAGCCTGACTCCTTTCAGGCCACTGCCTCCCATCTCCTTCCCCTGCTGCTGGTCCAGTCTTTACCAAAAAACAGCACTGCCACCTTCTGCCTGTCTTATAGATCACAGCTGAATTTCCACCGTGATTTATTTTTCTTCATCCTGCCAAATTCATAATGTATGTGCTAGGAAAACTTGGAATACAAAGAAGAAACCATGTGTGCATATGCACGGTCAAGATGGTCTGTAAATTGATTTTTGTTTCTAGCTTGTCTCTATTACAGATGGTGATTGCCCTGTACATAATTCCAGCTTTGATTTAGAGGAAAGCAACCCTATAGTGTTGCTCCCCGTGATCCAAAAAACTAAAATATTTTGTTTCAGCCACTGTTAAGCCAACATAGTGGCCAGTGATTAGCCACAAATGTTTTGACAGGTTTGCTCAACAGCTTGGTTGATGCAGGAAGCATCTGAAATAAGCAGATGGGCCCTGGTAGAAGACTAAGCGTAGACTATCAGTTGGTACAAATCAAGATTTCTTACTTGACTTGGGAGAAGCTACCCTGATTCATAACTAATGGTTATCTCTTTCAAGTTATCACATGACTTGTGCTACTCTTCTCTTCTGCTGTGGCAAAGGAAAAGGAAACCCAAGTGGCGTGTGTCTGTTGCTTATGGATGAATTTAAAATGTCCTTTTTTAAATTTTTTTTCTTTCTTTCCAGTTGAAATATGAGTTAAATACTTTTCTTTTTTCTCAAATCGACTTTGTATCTGAAAGCTAAGTGAACCCAGATGTGCTTAAATCCTCTCACGTTGCTCATTTAAAAGAATTCTCGGTATTTTTCCTTTCCTGGCTAGAAAAGGGGTGCCAAAGTCACCCTCTATTTAGGAAAATAAATGTTCTTCATGAACATGCTAATTCCTGCAGCAGCCACCCCCACACCTCGTGGCACTTCCAAGCAGGAGCAGAGTCCCTGGCCCCTGCCCTGCAGACCTTTGGAAGAGAGATGGGCTCACCACTGTCTCACGGAAAGTGCCAGAGCAATTATTTAATATCCCAACCTCAACCTTTAACACAAAGGCAGTTCTTGCAGCCTTTGAGAGTCTTGATGCATGCAAGAAAAGGTTGGAAAATTTTCCCCTGCCCTTGTTATTTCCCTCAGCATGGCTAAGGGAACAGTGGCATCTGGTGTTCACTGAGCTCTCTTACAGCCACCACTTCCCAGGTGGGTGCTGCCAGGCTTTGCTAGACCCTGGGCAGCATCTGGCTTCCCACATGAAGGTATCTAGTGGCACTTGAGACCTGTTGGATGTCAAAGACATCCATACAAGCATGATACAGGCCATAGGGGAGACTCAAGCCCATCTGAATGGCAGTTGAGGGATGGATGGTGCATCAAAGGAAAGAAACCTGAACTTGCTTCTAGTGAAGATGGTAATCGCTCTTGTTGGGGGATGAATTCCTCCCACCCAGGACTGGAACAGTGATGTAGTATCCCCAGGGAGCCTCTGATTTGGATGCTGATTGAGATTTACATATTTTATGAAATCTTTATTCTAGCTTTCTCAGTAGAGAGGAATTTGCTCCTTATGAGTTCCCCTTGTGCATTTGGTGAGGCAGCCTGGCCACCCAGAGGTCTATGACCCTCAGTCTGTGCTGCAACAGCTCCAGGGTGTGATGCTCAGCTGTATATATCCTCTGACTTGTTTTTACTATCTGAACATCTCCTCAGTTTAATCTCATTTTGAGATGCAAAATGCAAGAGCCCTTCCCCTCCCAGGGATTAATAACGTACCCAAAATCTGGAATGAGTTTCACTGGGAGATGTTTGTTTGTGCTTCTTTCCCCATCTTTGTTCTTGGCATCACAGAATCCCATAGGGTTGGAAGGGACCTCTGGAGATCATCTAGTCCAACCCCCTGCCAAAGCAGGGCCACCCAGAGCAGGTTGCACAGGAATGTGTCCAGGTGGGATTTGAATGTCTCCAGAGAAGGAGACTCCACCACCTCCCTGAGCAGCCTCTTCCAGGGCTCTGCCACCCTCACAGCAAAGAAGTTCCTCCTCATGTTCAGGTGGAACTTCTTCTGTTCAAGTTTGTGCCCGTTTGCTCTTGTCCTTGCCCTGGGCACCACTGAAAAAAGACCGGCCCCATCCTCTTGACACCCTCCCTTTCAGTATTTAGAAGCGTTGATCAGATTCCCCCCCTCAGCCTTCTCTTCTCCAGACTAAAAAGACCCAAGTCCCTCAGCCTCTCCTCCTAAGAGAGATGCTCCAGGCCCCTCATCATCTTTGTAGCCCTCTGCTGTCCCCTCTCCAGCAGTTCCCCATCCTTCTTGAACTGGGGAGCCCAGAGCTGGTCCCAGTGCTCCAGATGGGGCCTCCCCAGGGCAAAGCAGAGGGGCAGGATGACCTCTCTGTGTAAGTCCCACCGTATCTGCTGTATAGACATGGGTACCTTTGCCTGTGATGGAGCCCAAGTACATCTTTTAAACACCTCTGGCAGGCCAGTATCAATAGCCAACTGGGCAGTATCTGAACCTTGCAGTGAGTGTGTGCTGTCTCTGGGTTCCAGGTGGAAAGGTCCCTCTGCTGCTGGTCCCCAAGACCCAACCAAAGGCTTGTTTGGAGACAAACTAAGCTGTGTTTCCTTCTCCTGTGAGCAGAGGAAGCGAGTTAAAGATGTGCATCTCCCTGGTAGTTTCTATGCAAATTAGAAAAGGCAAATTATTCTCTTCATTTTACTAACTGAAATTCAGTTTATCAGTCTTTACCTCAAGTGCACAAAAGGCAGGGCCCTTCCTCCTGAGGTGAACAGAATGACGCTGCTTGACGTCAACCTCCATCACCACAACAAGCAGCACCACAGCTAACATGATATCTCTTCTTCTCACCCAGGAGATTTCGGAACTCATCAGGTGGTTTTATGTAACACGTAGTACCTATGAAGTGATAAGATGCCAAGGGCTGACTTTTGGGTGGTGTCACGTCCTTTGGCATTGTGCCTCTTGGGCCGCCAGGTCTCTCTGTTCTGCAACAGTTTGTTCAAGTCAAACCCTGGGGTTGCCATGCGCTGGAGTTTATTTTCTATAAAAACATGGGAAGTCTTCCAAAGTGTAGCTGAACTTCTGCTAACAAAAAAAAGAAATCAATGGGAACTTCGCACCTAAACTCAATCATCTTCATCATCTCCTACAAAGACTCCTAAGGTGGCAAATTGTCCTACTCTTACAAGTCAATGTGCAATTTTAAGCGTGTGGAGAACAGGCCCCAGGGGCCAACGCTCTACAAATACCCCAACCCTTTTGCTATCAGCACTCAAGATAAATGTTGCTGCCGCCCTGGGTAACAGAGTAAGAAAGGTTAGTTTCGTAATGTGTTTTGTTTATTAAACTCAGTTTTCACTGATGTCTTGAGTTGACAAAAAAATGTTTCCCCAAAAGACTGACAAACAGAATCAATTCATAAATATATATGTACATATCTTTCAAACACTGTAGGTATAAACAAATAAAAGCTCTGGTTTGCTCTTTTGGGAGGTCCTGTGAAACCAGCATTTTTTAGCTGGCCAATTAGCAGCATATGTGGTAACCAGTAAAGAACTTCCACTTGTTTTTAAAAGATCAAATCCAGTGTTTAAAAATTATTGCTTGTTACCAGACAAAAAACCCAAGATATAAAGGATGTTCATTAAAAATCCTCATTAACAGCAGGGAGGGTATATATTGACAGCACATGCAGCTTTATAGTGGGGGTTTTTTTATGCAATGAAGACCAAATCAGAAATTAATTAAGATGTTGGGCAACCAACCTGAGGATACTACAGGAGCCAAACTCTCAGCAGGTCTGACCTTGGCACCTTCCTAAAATCTACCTTCTTTTAAGATCTTGGGCTAAGTACCCCTGATATAAACACCTCCAAACCACTAATGGCAGGGGACACGGCGCCCAACTGCGACGTTGCTCCAAGGCTTTGCCAAATCCACTGGGACCTGCCTGGTGGGGCTGCCACCAGGATGGTGGGATGAAGAAGAGGACCAGTGCACAGAGAAACAGGAGGGAGTTGTAGACAACTGAGGTATTTGTCCTCCCAGCTAGCAGAGCTGAGGGAGGGGACGGTGGCAGGTACCAGCAGAAGATGGAAACTCAGATCTCCTCACAGCACTTACAACTAGAGGAATCTCAACTTCAGAAGCTACTGGTAGCAACGCCTTGTGCAGCAGGTTCCCCTCGTGCCTATCACACACACTACTTAGGCTAGTGGTCTCCCACCGGGGCTACGCTACGGCAGTTCTTGCTCCCCTCTGCTTGGGAGCACCTTGGGGTCAGCATCCACCTTCCCGTGCCCTCCTGGTAGGGCACAGCTTGCTGACCACCTCGATCTGCTCCGGCCGGCCCGCTCGCTTCTCTGCTGGAAAACAAGGAGAGGCACTACTCGTGCTGACCCCTTGGCAGAGGAGACCGGTCCTGGAGGGAAGGAAACCCTCTGTCCATCTTGCGCCGGCGAGGCACGCTCCTCAGGGTATCGTGATGGAGATACACTGTGGGGCCTTCTGGCCATCGTCCCCTCTTTCCCCGCTGGCCCTCTTTGGATACACCACGCTGGCCATCTTGAAGAACTCATCTGCAGCATCCAAAGCTATGAGTCGATCCTGCCAAAGCAATGGGGGTTTTTACAGTCACTAGGGTTCTGCTCTCAGGTTAAGACAGGCATTAGGTCTGATCTTCTCCCCCTTCACAGAATCACAGAATCTTCTAGGTTGGAAGGGACCTTAAAGATCATCTTGTCCAACCGTCAACCTCACTGACAAAAATAGACACCCACACAACAAACAAGGAACATCATCACTAAACCATACCTCCCAGCACTTCATCATCAACCTGGCTTTTGAACACCTCCAGGGATGGTGCCTCAACCACCTCCCTGGGCAGCCCATTCCAATGCCTGAGAACCCTTTCAGTGAAAAAATTTTTCCTAATATCCAGCCTGAACCTCCCCTGGTGCAACTTGAGGCCATTTCCTCTTGTCCTGTCGCCTGTGACTTGGGAGAAGAGACCGACCCCCACCTCTCTACACCCTCCTTTCAGGTAGTTGTAGAGAGCAATAAGGTCTCCCCTCGGCCTCCTCTTCTCCAGGCTGAATAACCCCAGTTCCCTCAGCCTCTCCTCATAAGATTCATTAACAGGCTGCAAGAGCACCCAGTTGCCCAGGCTTACATTTATGGTGCTACAGCACTGACGTTTCCAAGGAAGCTGACCAGCCAAGATACAAGTGCAACATCTGATGGGGATGCCCCAGATGCCACCGTGTATTTGAGCATCCTCTGGTGCAGCTCCCCTCTGTTTGAGCTCACTTGTGGAGATGGGGACCACGGGGAGGAAGACACGCTCAGAGCTACTCACCACCACAAAGAGGTAGCGCTCGGAAAGCTCCCAGCTGGTGGGGAAGATGTTTGTCTCTTCGGAGAGCTTCAACAGGATGTCCCGGGCTTTGCCCATGTTCTGAGAGTCACTGATGATGCTGAGTTTGGTCACTGACAAGAGGGAGTCTGCTTCCTTCTGGAAACCTGGCAAAGAGATGTGTTACAGAAATGAGTCAAATATGCTGGCAGGGTCATCCCTGAGCCCTCCAGGCTCTTGCAAGGTTCCTTACTTGCCCTCCACCTTGGGCTGCTACATTCCTACTTGCTAAAACAAACTAGCATTTCCTTGAGGAGCCTTGAGGCTCCCTGTCTGCACTTGGGGCAGGTATGAGCTTGCTGGTGGGGAAAAAAAAATCCCCACATATACCCATTCAGAAGAAGTTTGTTGCTAGTTTTCCAGAGAAGGCATATGAACATCCACACCCAGGGTGTTGCTTCAGCTTTTGCATGTTCCTGATGCTGCCAGAGCTTTTGGGGCTGGTGGGACTTCCTGATCACCCCAGTGACTACGCCTATATGTTGTTGGGAGGTACCAGTGAGAAAAAAACCTGCAGCAGTAATGGGTGCATGGGTTAATTGTCCCCATAGCAGTCAGTATCTCTTACAGGAAGGGTAACCAGGGAAGGAAAGGGAGAGGAGAATGAATGCAGGGATGTTTAAATCTAATTTCTACTATTAACTCTTTGTTCAGCTCCAGGGTGATGCATCTCACCTGAAAACTCTTACAGGGGAAAAAGTAGCGGTCTTACGATTAAAGCACAGGTCTGGATAACAAAAGATAGCAAGTCTCACATCTGGTTGCACATCTAGCTTCGTTAAGGCTAAATGATCCCTGGCCTTGAGCTTCCCCACCCTTTGCAAAACAGCTCCAGAGCCATTGTGGACGTGAGGGAGATGTGGGAGACCTTTTGTTAACGTGCAGTAACAGATGTAAGGGAGTCAAGTGATCCCTCCCATGGTTGGTTTGTGTGAGCACCTGAGTGAAGATGAAGGCTGATATCTATTTATGAATTTATAGTGTTCCTCCCATCCAGATGCCAGACTGGCAGGTAGGGCAGAAGTGGCTGAGATACCCATCTCTTTTGCTCCCAGTGATAATACCCTTGAACGGCCCAAGGAGCACGCTCGACTCGCACATCCTCCTCTCATTAGCTGCCAACCACCTCCAGAGGCATGATGCAAGTCACTGAGCTGATGCTCCAGCTCGGCACCCCTCCGTGTCCCCGAGTGTCACCTGCTGGGTGGAAGGCCATTGGGAAAACCAGGTCCTGAGCCCACCGGACCGGTGGGTGCAGTTCATTGTTTGCAGGCTAGGAAACAGCAGGAGGAGGAAGGTCACCCTTGAGCAATTTCATTTCATGGAGGAACACTTCAAATTCACTCAGGCGCAAACAAAGTGGGGGCTTTAGCTCTGATGGGCTGGCATGGACTAAATAGATGTACCTGTACTTCAAATCTGAAAGGAATATTCATTTCTCCCTGCTTACCTCTCTGCTTCGCTCTCTACAACCACCTGAAAGGAGGGTGTAGAGAGGAGGGGGTCAGTCTCTTTTCCCAAGTCACAGGCGATGGGACAAGAGGAAACGGCCTCAAGTTGCACCAGGGGAGGTTCAGGTTGGATATTAGGAACAATTTTCACACTGAAAGGGTTATCAAGCCTTGGAATGGGCTGCCCAGGGAAGTAGTTGAGGCACCATCCCTGGAGGTGTTCAAAAGATGGGTTGACATGGTGCTGGGGGACATGGTTTACTGATGGGTTTTGTCAGAGTTAGGGTGATGGTTGGACTAGATGATCTTGAAGGTCCCTTCCAACCTAGATGATTCTATGATACCTTGCTTAGAAAAAAAACCAGGGTGAATTCTCAGGTATCCCTGCTAAGTTTCCACGAGGAAGCTTGAAATGGATGATCGTGTATGCTATTATGGGCTTGAAGGCTCTCCTGCTGGTCATGGTTCGTGGGCTTTTTGGTGGGCCTGCAGACTCAGTGGCTCCGTCTTCCCCCTCCTAATGCCTGAGCTCTTGGGAGTCTCCTGCAAGCTCTCAGCTGTTGTGTGGGCTACCCTACCTGACAGCATTGCTCAGCAACCTTGTTTTATTTTCCTCCCTTTCTCCTCTACCAGCCTGATTTTGTGATTTTGAGCCGTTCCCATCTTCAGCCATCCCAGGCCCTCTCATTCAGTACCACACAAATGACATCGTTTTGTCCTCTAGCTTACCTAAATCCTCCAAAATGTGTTTCCACCTGCTTCTCACTTCTTTTCGGGTCTGCCGTAAGGTATAAATATCATAGTTGAGCTTTTGCCATTCCTGCAAAGCAAAAGGGATAAGAGAGAGTCATTTGCACGTGGGGAGGGCTTTGCTGCATTTCTAGGAATTTCAGCTTTTAGAAACAGAGCCAGAGTTGAACTGTCGATGGCGTGAAGGTCGATGGCCAGGCTGCTGTTGCCCCTGGAAGAAGTTACGTGTGGAATATTTTAGCTTGACATTTGGTACAGTATCTTTGTGTCTTCTCTGCGTGCGCAAAACAGGCTCGAGTTGCTTTGAAACTGGATTACAGGATTTCATTTAGGTGCTCCTGATGAGCAAAGTGGTCTCCTTGGTCAGACAAGGAGAATATAATTCCAGCTCCGTGCTGGAAATTGTAATGCCATAGTAATCCTCGGCTGGAGAACAACCATGAACTTCCAAGTGTAGTTCCTTTGAGAGACTTCAGTCTCTTTGGTTCCAAAGCCCTTTACCCCAAACCTTGACACCCTGCTAATACCAAAACCTGAGGTTGTGAGAATACTTTATTTGGCCTTTGACAGCTTGAGAAAGCACGACCACGTATTAATAATTACCTTCTGTGAACTCTTGCAACACCTTATTTTCATACCCTTGCAGTTAAACTGGCACGGCGCATTTTCTTACAGCTGCTGATAGCCCAAGGGAAAGCAAAAGTTGGAATAAAAGTTCCTGCTCTCAGTTTGGTCACACATAGAGTGGCTTCTCCAAACTCCTCAGCCCTCTGTTTGGCATTTAACCGGAGCAGGCATCTTCTCAAAAGTACTTGGAAAACAAGAAAAATAGACTTTTTTTAAAGGCTGGGGTAGCCTTTTTAAATAGAAGAAAGATGCACGTGGATGGTTGAGGGCTGAGCTGGAGTCATTTGACATAACAGCTATTCTTGGTGCTGCCAGTTGCTGCAGTTAATGCCTCACTTAACTATACAGTTTAAATCCTTGCACTTGACCTCAAGCTTTATATCTGCATAATGGGACACTGTCTAAAGGGGAAGGTTTTGAGATAATTTATTTAAGTGATACCAGCACAATTAAATGCATCTGTGCAACGATGCATTCCTGGGAAATGCATAAAGTGATACCAGCACAATTAAATGCATCTGTACAACTGTGCATTCCTGGGGAAATGCATGTATTCTGCAAGAAAACCAGCAGTATTTTTCCTAGCTGAGTTTCATCAGTGCACTCGCTGAAAGGGGTGCATTTACAGAAGCATCCACACAGCAGGTCCTAACATCCTTCAGATAATTTCCCCACCCTGAGAACCTTAATTAATCTCATTTCTCAGCAACAGATTACGTAGATGGACTCCTGTAGAATAAATGGGTTAATCTGTGCCGTTTCCCTGGGATTTTCCTACGTGACACGCTGGGTTTAAAGGCGTTGAACAACATCCCTGAAAGCAGGCTGTGCTCTAGAAATCCCACCGCTTTTCTGACACCCAGGGCCTTGGTTTGATAAAGAGTTGGAGATTTCTTAGTGTGCTTTTTTCCTGAACCTGGCTGAGATGCCACCACTGCAGAGAATCGCACGCCGAGCGCTGTTTTCTTGCAGGAACCCTTGGAGATTATGCTTTGGAAGAAGCAGCCGGCAGGGTTTAAGACACTGGTGAATTCAGGAGGGCACAGGAGGGCATCTGGCTGCCAGCCCAAGGCATCAAAACACCTCTTCAGCCCTTCACTAGAAACAGGAGGCAAGGAGAAGACGACTCTCTCTCTCTCATGCCACCAGCTCGTAGCTGGGAACTGAGTGAAAAAAGAAAAGGGGAGTTTGATTGTATTAAAGCTTTGCGGAGAGTTTGCTGCAACCTGGAAAGTTTTAAACAAAGAGAACAAAGGCTGCACGATGCCTCGGTCCCCGCTGGCTGGGATCCCTTGGAAACATCTCCTCCTGCTCCTGACCCCGTGGTGTAGGCAGGAACGCCAACAAATCAGTCTGGGGGGGAAATAAGCTGTGTGTCCCTGCCCTCCCACGGGGACAAACAAGTGCTTTAATGCACACGATCGATCAACACAGCGGCTGTGATGCCAGGCTGAATTAGCAAGCTGAGGGAGGGGGGATAGGGGGTGGGAAAGAGGTTCTCCTCCCCAAAATGTGGCTCGCTGGGCACCTGGCAGCAGCTTTCAGGGCTGCGGGGATTTACCCCCCGTGGTAGCCAGCCAGACTCCTCACTAAGCTTAGCATGCAAGGAAGCTGCTCCTGATTTTCTCTGGATTAACAAGCAGCATGTTTTCCCTGGTCTATTTTTATTTTAAAGGAAATCTAGGTTATGGCTTTCGCGTACGTCGTAGCTACCCAGTTGCATTGTGGAAGGGAGTACGGTGCATATTTAGTCCCAGAGGATGTTTGACAGCGTCCTCTTGTTGAAGACTTTGGGGGGGGGTGGGCAGGGATGTGCAAATGAGCAGCTTTGGTACAGAAAATGATGCTTAACAGCCGTGTCTGGGAGGGGACCTCTTGGTTTGGTGTTTAGCTCCTGAGTGTGGAGCTGGGTGTATTAGACTAGAGATTATCAGGGTGAGGATGGGCAGCTGCGGGCTGAGCTCTTGAAGAGACTCATGCCCTGTTTTCAGCCTTAGAAAACACCAAGTTTTCCCAGGCAATTCCTTGTAGCAGAGACATCCTAAATGCTGTGGGCACGGGGCTGCCCTCCGTGTTGCTTTAATGAGGGAAATAAAGTTAGGAGTGTCTTTCCGTCACCAAAATGAATCTAAAAATCACCTCCCTTTAACTACACAGCAGGGGAAGAGCGAAGCTAGTCCTGCCTGTGCCTCTGCATAGGAATGGGCAACATCAGAGGCTTTGGGGAGGGTGTTCCCCGTGTGCATCCCGTGAGTCACCAAGATGTGACCTGGGGAGGGATCCGGGCGGCATCACGAGGCCCAAGCTGCTCAGCACCCGCTGCCGGGTGGCCCCAGGGCAGGCAGCTGGGACTCTGGCCAAACCCCACTGTTTGAAGCCCTGGGCAGCCCACCAGAGCCCCCTCCGAGCCCATATGCACGGGATAAGCAGCTCACTCCCAAAACTTCACTTTTTTTTGGCACCTTCTGTGCATCTCCGTTCCCTGTACCGCCTCTCGCAGAGCTAGATGTGACTTCTGGAGTGGTGAGGGAGCTTCTCACACACAGTGCTGGGAGATTACAGCAGAAGGCTGGTGTTCACCAAACCCCTTGGTGTTTCTAAAGGTCTGGGTGGGACATCCCAGTAACGCATTCAAAATCCATCCTGTAAGAAAAACTCCCTTTTGCCAAAATCTGAATTAACCACAGGAAACCAAAAAAGGGCAGTTCCTGGCCCTTTTTTTATGCAATCAGCTTTGGCCTTTTTAACTTACGTAGGGGGGCACAACATATACCAGTGGGGGCTTGAGAAAACCCTTTGTGTATGAGACAAGAATATCCTGGTAGCAGCAGGGAATCCCTGCTGCCTCTCTCCTCTGGGTGCTCAGCCCTTCCAATATTTACCTGGAAAACTTCCCCAGGCTCCGTAAGCGTGCTATGCTAAATCTGCAAATGCCAAATGGAAGTGAGGAAATGCTGGGCATGAAATATAAAGCAGGCTGGTATATAACAGAGCTCCAGGAAAAAATAACATGCCAAGAGAACGGACAAGCATTGTCCAACTTTTCATCCCTGCCGGCTGGTATATAACAGAGCTCCAGGAAAAAAAAAAACGTGCCAAGAGAACGGACAAGCAGTGTCCAATTTTTCATCCCTGCTCGTATGGAAATTTCCTAATTAGTAGGTAGCGTGCTTCATGTTGCCGAAGCAATCCTCTCCCAAAGCCTTCTCCTTTATTCCCTTGAAAGCGATTGGTGTCACCGTTGCGTTCAAGAGTTATTTTGGAAATGAGGTCAAAACAGAGTTATCAGAGAGACTGCAAAATACCGGTGCAGGCAGGCACCACACCACAGCCAGGGATGCTCCCACTCTGGATCAGGAATTGGCCCTACTGGAAGCAGCCGAGGAGATACAAGCTCTAGATCCACCCTCACACATTGAACCACCGACCAAGGTCTCATCTTAGAGTAAACTTAAATTGGATTCAGTTTTAAGAGAAGCATGCAGGAGTCCATAGATAATTTTTTGTATGTATTAAGTGGGTCGGTTCCGGGCTCCCCAACAACAATCCTCAACCCTAGGCAAATCCCATCACCTCTCTGTGCCCCGACAATAGTGTGTCACAATACTGACCTTCTCTGTATTGCGTTTAAAAAAGAATAATCCTGCAGGAGAGCAGGAGGAAGCAGAAAAATAGGCCTTGTCAGTCCGTTACTGGGCTTTCCAGGAGGATCCTACCAGCACAGCTCTGCCAGCCAGGTGCCCAGCAGAGCTGCAGGCTGAGGAACTGCCTTTGCTAGTGGGGTTCATGATCCCACCTTGCCCAGGGGAATAAGGGAAAAGAAGAAGGAAACACTGCATTTACAATAAGCCATAAGAACAGTGGGGTTTTTTCTCAGTCCTAATGCAAAACCCCACCTTTAGTTTCTGTTCACAGACCCTAAACTGCCCTAAACCTGGCTCCTTCTCCAAAGCCAGTATTGGTGCAATGGCTCAGGCTCTCTGCCCACAGCTGGGCAACTCCATGCACCCCAGCAGAGGATCAGGGATTGGAGCATCTCCCTGATGAGGAAAGGCTGAGAGAGCTGGGGCTCTTTAGCCTGGAGAAGAGAAGGCTGAGGGGAGACCTTAGTAATGTATCTAAAGGGTGGATTGAAAACGGATGGAACCAGACCCTTTCCAGTGGTTCCCAGTGACAGGACGAGGGGCAACGGGCACAAGCTGGACCATGGGAAGTTCCACTCCAATGTGAGGAAGAACTTGTTTGGGGTGAGGGTGGCAGAGCCCTGGCAGAGGCTGCCCAGGGAGGGTGTGGAGTCCCCTTCTCTGGAGATCTTCAAGCCCCACCTGGATGCTGTCCTGAGTGATGTGCTCTGGGCAACCCTGCTTTGGCAGGGGAGGTGGACTGGATGATCTCTAGAAGGTCCCTTCCAACTCCAACTCGTGATTGATTCCTCCACGGCCAGATGCCCCCCGAGCCATCACTCCCAGCACCCAGCACCCAGCACCCAGCAGGATGAGTAAGTGGGCGTGAAATGGGGCGCACCCTGGATGTCACAGTGCTCGCCTTGAAGAGCTTGCTGCCCTGGTTCGGTGAGGAGCAGGGTGGAGCAGCCCCTCTCATCCTTACACAAGTTAAGGTCACGCTGAGTTTGGGCTGGAGCTGCCAAATTTCCCAGAGCAGTGCTGTTTGGGGGTGGGGCAGGGAGAAGAAACAGCTCCACGTGGATCAAGTGTGGGTCCAGTCCCATGGTGGGAACAAGGTACTGACCCCAAGAGAGGACACCAGCGCTGTGAGTTGCTGGCAGCTCCACTGGGAATGATCTAATATGCAGAAAATTGACTGAGCTCCAGGGTGCATTCAGCATCGGAGCGCTGGGCCCTTCACTTCCAGTTTGGCTTATTTATTCACAGAATCACAGAATCTTCTAGGTTGGAAGGGACCTTAAAGATCATCTTGTCCAACCATCAACCTAACTGACAAAAATAGACACCCACACAACAAACAAGGAACATCATCACTAAACCAGACCTCCCAGCACTACATCAACCCGTCTTTTGAACACCTCCAGGGATGGTGCCTCAACCACCTCCCTGGGCAGCCCATTCCAATGCCTGATGACCCTTTCAGTGAAAAAATTTTTCCTAATATCCAGCCTGAACCTCCCCTGGTGTATCTTGAGGCCATTTCCTCTCGTCCTGTCGCCTGTGACTTGGGAGAAGAGACCGACCCCCACCTCTCTACACCCTCCTTTCAGGGAGTTGTAGAGAGCAATAAGGTCTCCCCTCAGCCTCCTCTTCTCCAGGCTGAATAACCCCAGCTCCCTCAGCCTCTCCTCATAAGACTTATTCTCCAGACCCCTGATGATCCCAGTGATCCATGGCGGAGGGGTGTCCAGGCCAGGAGGAGCCATCATGGACCATGCCCGCTCACTTCCAGCGCCGTGCCGGTGCCACCACTGCGTCTTGGTCCTGTCCTAGCTCACAACACCTTGTCACTCTGTGAACAACCATTTTTTTTAAAAAAACAAACCCAGAAAATAGCCAGGAAAGCAGCAGTGGGGTAGGCAGATAAAGGAAAGCGCGATACTGGTTTGAGGCAGAGATGCCGTTATGGATAAAGCATGATGACATAGAGCAACCTACTCTTTGGGATCCTTCCAAAGGTCCTGTGCGAGGAAACCACAGAGATAAAGGTGGGGAATGGCAGAGCACACAGTAAATGCACAGCATGCCAAAATTTCTTTGCTAAATGAAGAAGCAGAAATAGAGTCATAGAATCATCTAGGTTGGAAGGGACCTTCAAGATCATCTAGTCCAACCATCAACCTAACTCTGACAAAAAAACAAGCAAAAAACAAAACCCATCACTAGACCATGTCCCCCAGCACTACATCAACCCGTCTTTTGAACATCTCCAGGGATGGTACCTCAACCACTTCCCTGGGCAGCCCATTCCAATGTCTGATAACCCTTTCCCTGTAAAAATTGTTCCTAATATCCAACCTGAACCTCCCCTGGTGCAATTTGAGGCTGTTTCCTCTGTCCCGTCGCCTGTGACTTGGGAGAAGAGACCGATCCCCACCTCTCTACATCAGGGAGTTGTTCTCCTTTCAGTCTGAATTTAACCAAGAGGGAAAAAAAAAGGAGCTGTGGTTTCGTAACGCTTGTCCACCGCAGAAGAGCAAGCCCTTCCTCCACCCCCTGTCCCACAGCATCCGCACACCCTCCCTCCCCAGGGACTCTGGGAGCAGAGCAGCGCCCAAAGCAGATTATGGCTTTTGCAGCCCAGTCCTTTTTTTTATTTTTTTTGCAATTGGCCTTTTTTTTTTCTGTCTCTCAGGGCTGAAGCCTCATTAGGAGGGGAGGGCGATGCAGCCTGGCCTAGTTTGAAAATGCTCACTGGAGTTAAGGAGAGATTTCAGCACGGGGGAGGGTGAAGGCAGGAATTTTGGCTTTGCCAGCCAAGTCCCTCCCTGTCTTGCCACCCAGGAGGAGCTACAGCTGGAAACTGGAGCTACATCCTGGAAACAGGATCACATACCCTGCCTCAGTTTCCCTGGCTGTAAAAAGAGAGGCAGCAGAGAGGCTGACAGTCAAATAGCAGCAAAGGGCACTCTGCCTTAAGTCAAATCATATCCTGCATTGGCTTCCTTCAAAGTCAGCCTGATGTTTTATTCCTCAGGCTTTTTTATTAATTACACTGCATAAAAAAAACCCAACCAACAGGGTATGTGATGTGATTCATTATGGAGAGGAAACCCCATGCCCCATACTTTTCTTTTTCACTGTCAGGCACGGCGACTGCCCAGACCCGCTAAAAACCCTGAAGGCAGAGAGAAAGCACTCTTTTTAGGTTTTTTTAGATTTAGGACAAACAGGCATGTTGGGTTTAGGATGAGGGGGTGCAGGAACCTTCTCTTGCTCGCCCATAACTGATGTTCTCCTCTGCAATCCTCAGCAAGGCTGACGCACAGCGCTCCCTTGCCCAAGGAGCCGTCTTTTTAGCAGCCCATCCCCTTATGATACTGTTTTATAAATAATAATAACACCTTTTAGGAGGCCTGCCCCATAATGAGCCCTAAATCAAGATAAGAAGCCACTTGACTGGGCACGGGCTGAAATGAGGAGCTTCCACTGAAGGAAGGGCTCATTACGAGCTCGTTATGCCCTGAACTACACTCAGCTCTGAACAGCCCAGGACCAGGCACGGCTCCCGAAATGGAGTTGTCCTCATTTCCTTCAGCCACCGTGGGCTGGATGGAGCTCCCTGGTTTTTTTTCTCTAAGACAAGCAATCACAAGACAGAGAAAGCAGCGGTGGGGCGGGAAGAGAATATCTTCAGTTAGAGCTGCAATAGCTGTGAAGGTTATGGGCAGCCACGAAAACGATGTTACAAACCCATCCATTGTGAACACCACAATTAATTCAATCCCCACCAAAAAAAAAAAAAAAAGAAAAAAACATTAAATGGGTATTCTGGCCATTAGGATTGCATTGTCTCATTTTTAAGTTCTAAAAATCGCCCCCCCCCCAAAAAAAAAAAAAAAAAGAAACATTAAATGGGGGTTCTGGCCATTAGGAATTCTGTGATTGCATTGTCTCATTTTAAGTTCTAAAAATCGTTAATTTTGATCTCAGCTGCACCCCTGGAGTTTGAGGCTTCTCAGAGCTGAGCTGGCTTGTGGTTTAAGGGGACTGTTGCAGGAGGAAGAGCTACAGCCTTGCAGGCCAGGGGAGGTTCAGGCTGGATATTAGGAAAAATTTTTTCACTGAAAGGGTTCTCAGGCATTGGAATGGGCTGCCCAGGGAGGTGGTTGAGGCCCCATCCCTGGAGGTGTTCAAAAGACGGGTTGATGTAGTGCTGGGAGGTATGGTTTAGTGATGATGTTCCTTGTTTGTTGTGTGGGTGTCTATTTTTGTCAGTTAGGTTGATGGTTGGACAAGATGATCTTTAAGGTCCCTTCCAACCTAGAAGATTCTGTGATTCTGTGATTGCATTGTCTCATTTTAAGTTCTAAAAATCGTTAATTTTGATCTCAGCTGCACCCCTGGAGTTTAAGGCTTCTGAGAGCTGAGCTGGCTTGTGGTTTAAGGGGACTGTTGCAGGAGGAAGAGCTACAGCCTTGCAGTCTCTTGGATGAAACGGGATCATGTCGAAATCAAATGTGAAGCCTCCAGGCTTTCCTGCAAACATTTTGAAGTCTTAAAAGCAATCAGAAGGGGGAAAATATGTCACTGTTTGCTACAGCCTGCTCCTAATCAGGGCGCTGAAATCTCCTCTGCGCAGAAGTGCTTTAGCAAAGGAAAGCAGGGCTGCAGAACAGCCTTTATGTAACAGCAATGATTTTTTTTTTTTTTCCCTTCTATGCCAAGAGCTGTGCCAGCTCCCTGCTTCTCGATAATTGCCGTACGACCCATTAGAGGAGTATTTAACTTGACGCGTCGCTGGAGCGGCAGCTCAGCTCCCGGTGCTGCCACTGCCGGGCAAAAGGCACTGCAGGCAGGGCTGGTGCCAGTCTGAGCATGGAAAGGCCAAATCAGGGAAATTTGGGGGAAAAAAAAAAAAAAAAAGCAGTCTACAAAGCTAGGAAATTGAGCTGGGGGTCCCAGTGCTACCAGCATGCATTTGGTGGTGGTGGTAGAGGTGCTTGTGGGACATCATGTGTCCCATCTCAGGATGGCTCTCCTGGCTCAGCCACCAGAGACATCCCCAAATTTTCCAGGGAAGAGATGGCTGCAGAGGCATCCCTGAGCTTTCCAGGAATGAGATGGCTCCAGATGCATCCATAAAAGAAATAGGATTAAATCTGGAGGTCGACGGAGCAGGTGGAAGGACTTGATGCCTACGTGAGCAACGCTGGGGGACTTCAGGGTCTTTTTAGCAGCTTAAATAAAGGTACTGCCAAAGCATGGGATAAAACCACCAAGCCTTGGTCCACAGTGAAGCTGAGGGCAAGGAACGGCACGGCCTCACCTCTGAGTCCTTGTCCAGCTGGTTCCTGACCACGATCATGTTGTACAGCACCCGGTCGTCATCTGCCTCCGTGTGGGTCACGTCATGCGGGGTGCTCCACAGGTTCTGCTCCTCGTCCCGTGCCAGCGTGGCTCCGAAGGAGGCGTAGGGGTTGTTGTTGCTGCAGAGAAGGGGAGAGTGGAAGCACCATGAGCTACTGCAGCATCATGCCGCCTCCTTTTACCTTCCCAGGGCAAAGTGTCCATTGCTGTGGCATCTCCTCTCGCAGCCCCACGTCCCACCTTGGGGAGGGAAAGAAGAGGAGGAGCGAGGAACGAGAAGACAGACTTTTTTACCTTAGTTAACATCCTGACCACACAAGCCACAGTTCAAACTAGGCAGTGCTGCCATGAAAGACATCAGAAACACGAATTTGATGAAGACACCAGATATTATTTGAGCAGCTAGGACGGAGGAACCGTGGGCAGCCCTCTGCGAGGAGGAAAGGTGGCATCTCCCCATTGCTCCCCTGCCTCGCTCCCCATCACACCTTCCCACCACGAGCCACCCCCCCTCAGCCTCTCTGAGCTTAATGTGGGAACAGTTCTAATTAACTAAGACTCAGAAATCCCAGTGGCTCCAGAGTGTGTTTTCTTTCTGCCCAGCTAAACCTGCAGCTGTGCCAAGATCCCAGGAGGCACCATCTGTCCCCAGGGGGACTTTGTGTTCAGAGGAAGATGCCTTGAGCAGCGAGCAAGGGGACAGCCACGTGCAAAGCCTCTCCCTTGCCTCTTGGCCAAAGAAGCAGCTTCTACCCATCTTCTCCTCAGGAGCGGTGCCGTTGGGCATGGTTTTATTTTGGACAAAACACACCCCACCTCTGCTGAGGGAGCTGGGGCTGGTTAACCTGGGGAAGAGATGGCTCAGGGGGATCTCACCCACCTGTGGATGTACCTGATGGGAGGGAGTGAAGGAGGCAGAGCCCCATGGTGCCCCATGACAGGCCAAATGTTGAAATATAGGAAATTCACTTTAATCATAAGAAAAAAATGTCCTGTTGCGAGGGTGGGTGAACACTGGCCCAGGTTGCCCAGAGAGGTTGTGGAGTCTCCTTCCTTGGAGACACTCAAGAGACATGGTCCAGGGCAACCTGCTTGAGATGACCCTGCTCGAGCAGGGGTTGGACTGGACCCTCTCCAGAGGTCCCACCTCCACAACCATGTTTCTCTTTTCTCCCCAGCAGCCTGAACCCTACCCAATCAAGCAGATGATCCCCGTAGGGAGGGGAAAACCCACCCTGGCAGCTCCCTCCTGAGAGACACAGCGATGCACTGAGCCACGCAAGGACCCGTGCCAGGACACAGAAAGGATGTGTAGCCCCATCTTTATTTCTGGGACGGAAATGTCCTCAGCCTGCTTGTGAACACCAGCCTTTATTTGCTTAGCGGTCAGCGAAGCAGAGCATCATCTTCTGGGAAGGCTGTCCCCACTGAGGTAAGGAGCTTCTTTTTGCACTGATGGCAGTTCTGTGTTTTATGACTTTATGTTGCTACTGGGCTGTGTATTTTTTTTGGTAGGGTTACTTAATTTTGCCAGGAGAACTCTTAGCAGAGTTATTTCCATAATGTTTCTAATCAAAATGCCCAGACGCTTGAGCAGAACGACACAAATGGAGAAATATTTTCATTTTATTACCCAATTGTCTCAATCAAGTGAGCAATCCCAGCTCACTTCGTGTTAGAACAACCCACTGTTTATTCTATTTGCTACCCAAAACCCCGGTCCTTTGCAAAGAAACCCATCCAGCAAAACCTCAGATGACACTGCAGGCACGTTAGCCGTGATGCCAAGCCATAAAAAAAGATGCCAAGAGGAGCTCCAGCACATAGATAAAATAGAAAAAAAAAAAAAAAAAAAAAACATTACAAC